ATTTCAAACAATGGAGAACCAAAAATACAACCAATGGGCTTCCTAAATACTGGAGCCCTGCAAGCAGTTCTTGAGCATATGCAGAGAGTAAGAAAAAACAAATGTAAGGGTCTCCAAGGAAGTGTTCAATGTGATCAGGAAATTCCAACCACAGCACTGCAGGAGAGACCTGACTAGTCAAGGAATAGCAGCTTTGTGAAGAACATTTACCCTTTTGAGAGGATCCCAGATCCCGGGCAGTCCCCGGTGGCTGCAGCAGGGAGCTGCAGCCGACTCCGAGCTGGTAAGTACTAGGGGCTGGGGGAGGAGACCATAGGGGGACCCCTGCCAGCCCCCCTGACCCTCTCTGCCCCCCCCACCCTGCTCAGTACTTTAAAGCTCACCGGGTGCTGCTGGGTGGGGCGGGGGGGGGCAATCCCTGCTGCCCCCCACTGCCCCACGCTGCATGGGGGGCTCTGCCACAAGTCCCCCGAACCCCCCACAGGTGCCCTGCCTGGGCCAGCTCCAGCCCTTTAAGGAAAAAAAAAAAACAGAGAAAAGCCCCAGGACTCACCGCTCCTGCAACAGCCTCGAGGCTTCAGGGGCTCATGCAGAGCCCCCCACGTGGTGCAGGGCAGCAGGGGGCAATGGGGATTGCCCCCCACTGGCAGGAGCAGTGAGCCCAGGGGGATTTTCGGGGGGGTTTTTTCTTAAAGGGCTGGAACTGGCCTGGGCGGGGCACCTGTGGGAGGGCTGGGGAAGTGAGGGGGGGCGGTTCATGCAGAGCCCCCCATGCAGGGGCAACAGGAATTGCCTCCCCACACCCTTCTCCTGGAAAAAAACCCCAATGGAGACAAGGTACATTGCAGCAGAATATATGCAGCATGTATTAGGTATGTCCCCATTATTGAAAAAACTGTTTTGCAATAAAGACCCAGAGCAAGTAGAGAGCAACTCATTGTATTATGTCCACTGCTGACCTACCATCACAGGCCTCCAAGACAATGCCAGATACCACAAAGCTGCACCTCACAACCAACACTGCAGTTTAACTCCAGTTTCCAGATCTGTTTCCAATAAAGTAGCATATGGGAGGAAAGTTTATCTGGCTGTCTCAGAGTTATGCATGAGTACAAACCAATGATTTGCCACAAAAATAATTACTCTTGATCACATGTACAAAAGAATAAGAAATCTATTAAATGTGAAAAAGAACAGTACTGTTTAACTAAGTGAATTGCATAAAGGAAGTTAATGCCATGGAATAAAGTGCGCCTTACTACAGAATCACTCTTTTTTTTTTTTTATAAACAAGCTCAAGGAAATTAAATGCAATAAAATACCACAAATTAAACGCAACATTTTAGGCAAGAGTCAAGTCAAAAAGCTCAGGAAACTCCAACTTGCAGTTCTGACTTTAAAAAGGTGACTACTAAATATTAGTTAAGTGGTAGGAACATAACATGTTGAGTTGAAACAAAGGGACACAGTTAGTCTGAAACCCTAGAACCCTGCATAGCCGAACTATGAAGTCTTAGCCATGCCTCCCCACTATTTCTTGCTTAAGCTGTGTACTCCACAGTGTTGTATTAACAGGTTTTTGTATTAGCTACATTTCATCTCCGATAACATAGATTTTCTGCTGTCTAGTGTCCCTTTGTTACCCTCCTCTCCCCTTCCTATGTGATGGAGCAGGCTAATGCATTTGAAAAGGGACATTTCTATATAAGCTTGATATTTATTAAGCCTTATGGAAGGAAGCAGCTTTGCCATAACCACATGACTTGAAGCAACTAAACTCGCCCACTTACACACTTCTCTCCTGCTCTCGTCTATCACTTTTTCTTCCACCACTCACTAAATGCAGCCTCCAGAGGCCTTGAGAGAAATAAAGAAAACATGAAGATTTGTTGCTTTAAAACAAAAGGAAAACTGAGCAGCTAATGTGTTTTGTCATGTTGTATGAATTACCGTACATGGCAGCTTTCTGCCATGGGACATCTGGGCTCAAAAACAGGCTTATTGTTTAAATTACTACAGCATGAGTTCATGGCTGAGGACTCAGATGCATGTCTGCCCGCTCTTCTGTACCATGGCAAATGGAAAATGCAGTGCTGCATATTTGCATCCCAGTCAGCAACATGAATTCCCCACATGGGCTATTCCCGATAAAAGAACCTGCGCCAGGGAGACTTCAGTCTTCAATACTTTGTTTGCCAAAAATGGATTTCAGATTAACAGAAACTATTAGCAAATTTGGATCAAATTCAGCAGCGGTTTGTCTAAAAAGTAGGCGCTCATGGACCAAAACAAAAGTGTTTTTACACTTATCAGATGTTTTCCTTTTGAATATGGGCCATTTCACCTGAACTCAAAAACTGACCTAAATTTTAAAAAAAAATAAAGGTTTTTAAAAGGATAAATAAGCCCTCAAGATTAGAAACAGTCTATTTTGACCCCCAACAAAACCTTTTTGGGTTTTTTTCCTTAATTTAAATTAAACAGTGCAAAACATGTCTGCTTCAGTTTGTTCTGCTTCATTTGCATCACTCCTCCCCAGCTTCTCAGTACAGCCACTAATTAAAAAAATCCATCATTTGGCCAGCTCTGGTCAATAAAACTAATTGTGAACACCACTATCCAGGCTGCATCTCACAAAATGATCATCTCTTGCTTTGGACAAAGAAAGCCGGAATTAGGATTGGAAAAGCCCATACCCCTGCCCTCAAGTTATCCCCTGGCAGATTTCTGCCATTTGCCCAATGCCTACCATGGACATATTTTTTACCCTGGATTTTCAAACATTGCTCAATATAATACAACTGCTATGCTTTAAAGGCTCTAGTACATTACAGTGTTGCAATTGCTTTTGAAGTGCTTTCAGCTTGGGAAACCTTCCTGCTTCCAGTATCGGTCACCCAGCACTCTGGCGTTGGCCTGTGGCAATAACTACAGAGCGCAGCGACGGTTAAGCCCCGAAAGACCTGCCTGGAATTACGCTTTGCTGCCTCATTCCAACAAGCCAGGTCATCGGGTCTGGCTACAAGTAACCAAATATGATTCAAGCTGCCAACTTGGGTGAGGTTCCTTTCATGCAGAGGACAATGTAAACCTAGAAAAGTGATTCAGTGAGGGAGATCATTCATAGTTACACTCCCTGGACTAGCTCAGAAACCAGCCTTCCCATTCCCAATTATACAATATGACAGAATCCTGACTATACAATGCAAGTGCCACGGCACTATCGTACAGCTACTGCACTTAATATATGCCTCTGAAGGATGTAAATAATTGCGCCAGGGAGACAACTCTTGCCCTGAAGAAGTTTGATCAAATATCCACGTTACTGAAGAACCCCCCCAAACAATATTACCTCCAAAGAAAGCTTAGACAGGCCTGCCAGACATTAAAGTCACACATGGTCCCAATTACAGTCAGAAACTTATGAGCAGTTGTATTTAGTAGTAGAAACGTTACTTTTTTTCTTTTCCTTTTTAACTTGATCTCACTAAAATACCAAAGCACATTAGAAAATGTGTATTGGTTTTTAAGCTAGCTCCACTAATATTTAATGTCTGTCCATTTTTTAAGCTTTGATAAAGGAACAGTGCAATGATTTGTTCTACTTTTTTAAGGGTCTTTTGCTTTCTCTTATGAAGTATTTCAGCAACTACTACATTCGCTAGCTTGAAGGTCTGGTTCCACGAACACTAATGCATGTGAATTCTTTCAGTGGGTGTAGTTATTCATGTGTTTTCAAGATTAAGCTCATACCTATACTAAATACAGGCTGTTCATAAGTTCCTATCTTCTACTGGGACCGTGTGTGACTTTCATGTTTGGCAGCCTCTTTGAAACTTTCTTTTGAGGTGATATTGTTTGGGGTGCAAACTCATATACAGACACATAGCTACTGAGATACAGATCTGCATGTGAGCTTAATCCTGCAAAACACGAGTAACTATTCCTGTAGAAAGTGTGTGTGTGTCTTCTCTCTGATCCCTAAACAAGAGACGCAGAACTGAATATTCGTGTGTGTGTGTGTGTGTGTGTGTGTGTGTGTGTGTGTGTGTGTGTGTGTGTGTGTGTGTGTGTGTGTGTGCGCGCCCATGTAATGCAGGAGGGGGAGACAGAGAGAGCAATGAGGGAAGCGGGGAAGAAAGAGAGA